TGACTTCCTTAGTATTTGCTTAAAACAAAACAGAACAAACTGCCAAAATCTTGAATTACAGTATTTGTTTCACTCATAATACAAATTCACTGAAGAAAAGTTAGAAAAAAAAGTTACCCATAATTCTACTGTCTGAAGACAGCCAGCATTAACATACTAGTCTACAACCTTTCAATTATTTTTTTGTTTGCACACACAGACACACAGATATTCACAAAATGGTCTCATACATACTGTTTTGTGACCTGCTTTTGTCCTCTAACAAATTATCATAAACATATTTTCTTGCCAATAAATGCCTATTAATGTGCATTAATGTTGTATAAAATTTCATTGTACAGATGTAATATATTTTTACATCTCTTTTTTAATTTTTAGTTTCCTTATTTTTTGCTCTTATGAATAACTTTTTGGCGAATATTCATGTACATTTATTCTTGAGCAAATTATTCATCATTTTTAATGGTAAATTTCCAGTAATTACTGGTTAAAATCACAAACATTTTTTTTTTTCCTTTTTGTCTTTTTTCGTGACCGGCAACGGATCGCAACCCTCAGTGTCGCGCCCGTACTGGACCGTACCGGCAACGGGATCGCAACCCTCAGTGTTGCGTCTGCACCTCGCTCAGCCAGTGAGCAGGAACCGGTCTGTATGTGGGATCCGAACCCTCGGCGGGAGCGCCGCCGCGCTCCCAAGCGGCGCACTGTAGCAGTGCGCCACTGGGCCGGCCCCTAAAATCACAAACATTTTAATATCTCTTTGTTCATATTGTCAAATTGCCTTTCAGAGGAATTCTAGCAACTTTAGCTCTCATCTCACTGGTGGTGAATTAACATACCTGTTCACCATGTTCAATTTTATGAATTTTTTGAAATTGCATACATTTGAAAAATGTATGTAATTGAATCTAGTAAGTTTTTTTTTTTTTTTTTTTTTTTTTTTTTTTTTTTTTTTGTCTTTTTCTTATAATATCATGCTCAGAGAGACTGGAGTATTTCTTTAAAACATTTTTTTCCCCAGAAGGCATATGTCTACTATGTTCTGAATTTATGAATGACCAAGAATAATTTTCTGCAGTCCTCGTGGGAGAGCAATAGCTTGGGAGTTAGAGCATTTTGACACACGATCTTTCCTTCCCAAAAGTCTGTAGAGTCCGGTCCACAGTTTTCTGATGATGTCAAGATATAAGTGTGATGCCAAATGGATTTTCCTTCCTAGAACGTACCTGGTTGTTTGTTTGTTGGGCAGAATGATTGCAAGATTTTTTTTTTTTTTTTCCTTTTTGTCTTTTTTCGTGTCCGGCAATGGATCGCAACCCTCAGTGTCGCGCCCGTACCGGGCCGGACCGGCAACGGGATCGCAACCCTTGGTGCTGCGCCCGCACCTCGCTCAGCCAGTGAGCGGGAACCGGTCTGTATGTGGGATCCGAACCCTCGGTGGGAGCGCCGCCGCGCTCCCAAGCAGTGCACTGTAGCAGTGTGCCACCGGGCCGGCCCAGCAAGATTTTTTTTTTAATCCTTGGAATAAAAAAGAAAAAGGACATGATGAGGAAAGAGTCTTTTATACTTTGGCCTGGTGCCAGGTGGGGGCTTTAGATTGAAAGCAAGGATTTTCCCAAATCAATAAAGTTATCTGTTGTTATTTATTCGGTCACAGCTTCCTGTCTGCCTGATGTCTTTTCTCTTTCCCACTCAGTCTCCAGGACCTATCCTGCAGGCCCTCATCTCTGGGCCCTTGAGTTTCACACTGCTGTCTTTTTCCCGAGTCCTAGAATCTCCCCAGCTGGCTGACTGGCTCGCCCGTCCTGTTCTCAGCCCTGTCCAGCTTGCTGGTCAGTCTCGCCACTGCACTTTTATATCGGGTAATTGTTGTCTCACCTGAGAGCAGTTGTTGAGAATCTGAACGCAATATTTTATAAAATGTCGGTCTCTTTTCTGCTCCAAGCTTTTTTCAAAAGAGCAGTCTTCTTTGGGGCTCCTAAGCATTTTTATGTGTTTAGGTGTGTTTCCCCACCTGCTCGTCCTCACACAAGGAGGCCTACGTCTGCCCAGTGCTGGGATTTGGAAGAGATTCAGAGGATGTTTAAGTTCACGTTCAGTTTCTTTACTCTGGGAATCAGAGGTCGAGGAGAATGTATCATTTCTGCAGTTTAATTTCTCTGGATCAGAATTTCAGTTTCCTGGGAGAGGTAAGAGGAGCCCACACCTATGGTGCTGTAGACAAGGGCTGCCCCAGTGTGCCCCAGTCCCCTTCTCATGGGCAGGGGCACCACCACTTCTCTGATGGGTGGCTCTTTTGGTGACCTTGTTGTGGCAATACCCCACAAGTGCCATTCAGAAGGGACACCGTGAGCTGCTCTTCCCTGCACACTGTGTCAGACACAGGCAGGACCTCATGGGTGTGCAACCAGTGAGTGCCACGGGGCTCTGTGCTCAGAAGGGCCCCACAGCTGGTGCAACACTCTGCTGCCCGCCTTGAATGCCACGAGAATCCTGTATTTGAATGTGTGCTGTGAGGGAAGTCTGCTGGGACCACTGGGTATGTGTGAGGGAGGGGGTAGAGCCCAGGCTCACACTGGATCCTGTCTCGTGCCACCTCCTGGGGACAGTTCTTGGCCACCCAGTCCCCCAGCCTGGCTCCCCCTTCTTGCTTTGCTGTTGCTGCACCCTCCAACCAGGTGGCAACTAGGGGGTGTCAATGGGGGAGGCCTGTGTTCCAATGATGCCTTCTGCCCCTCGTGGAAACCTGGGTGCAGGTAAGGGGAGGACTGAGTCAGGCGCAACAGTAGCTGTCCCCTGCTCTGGGTGGCAGTGTTGGCATCTGGTGGGCAGGGGAGGTGAGCTCCATCCCCCACCCAAGTACTAAGTATGTCCCAGTGCAGAGGTTTGAAGACCCTTGAGGGTCACGTGATTGCTGTGGGTTGGGGAGGTGGGCCCTGGGAAGGGCAGGTGCATGGAGTGCTGGCAGGAGGACCCAGCAGCTCTCAGCCTGAGTGTCTCAGGGTGGGAACCTCAGTGCCTGCAAGGGTCTGCTTCAGTCCCCAGGATCCCTTTGCTGGGGAGGTGCTCACTCTGGTGGCTCCATGCCCCTGGGAACCCTCCTTCCAGCCTTCCTGAGTCTGGCTTGCCTTTCTCTCTTTTGGGCAGCACAAAGCACCCTCCAGGGATGAGCTGCTGTAGGGAAAGTGAAGGTAAATGGTCAGTGTCCCTCAGATGTTCAGAATCTTGCTGAACATTTGATGTAAATATGCACGTGCCCCCAGGTGTTCCTTGGTTATAGTATGATGTAATTGCACATGTGCACCCAGGTGTCCCTGGGTTATTGGACTTAAGTATAAAGGATGAGTGGCTCTGATCCACAGTGCTCCCTACCCCTGGGATGCCCCCACGGGGGCTGCTGATGTTGCTGCCTGGGTCCTCCACCCCAGGGATGTCCCCCTGGGGGGGGAGTCACGGGGAGGCCGCTACTGCTGCTGGAGGTTATTGCTCCTGGGACACTCTGTGAGGCTACCACTGCTGCTGCTGGATGCACTGAAGGCTGCTGTAAGCTGCTGTTGCTGAGGAAGCTGGAGACTGAGCTCGCTTTGAAATGAACCTGTCAACTCTGCCAATGGCTCCTGGGATCCTTCTCAGTTACCTAACTTGTGGACCTGCACGTGAGAGGTCTGCAACCCAGCCTGGCACATGAGGGATCTGTGATCCATCCTGGCACATGAGGGGTCTGTGACTCAGTCTGTACAATGGGTTTGAAGGGTCTGAGGCTTAGCCTAACAGCTGCTAAGTAAGAATTATGTAATTTCGGTGATTCAGTGAGTTCTGTGCTCTTATAGTTGCATGTAAAACTGGCATTGCATAATGTAAATGTAAAATTCATGCTAATATTTAAAAATTCTAAGTATTTCTTTTAGAATGACATTAAATATCAAATATAAAGCACCATGACAAGTTGAGGGACTGCAGAAGAAAGGAAAAAGCTATATATTTTAGTACCTTGAAACTTTTTTCCTGCTTTTTGAGCAAGGGCAATCAAACTTTTATTTTGCACTGGGCCCCGCCAATTGCATAGCTGGCCCTGGGCACAGGCTTTGGTACATTCCCTTGTGATAACTGTGGCCGCAGGAAACTCCGGCTGCAGATGATCCATCTGACACCGCTGTACCCCTGCTCAGGTGTGTGGCATCAGACTGCCTTTCCCTGCCCCCTCCAGCTTCCATCCTTTGCCACACAATTTCCCCAGGTGTTTGCACAATTCAAGAGGAAGATAACGGCCCTCCTGATAATGTGGCAGGTGTGTGCTCAGGCGATGAACTGGGACTAGACGGAGGTGCCATCATATTTCAACCGCATATTTATGAGTCGTTCATCTGAGTAACACATGCAAATCTCTCTCTTACGGTGCCTGACACCTGATAAAGAGTCAGTACAAGTTGGTTTCCTTCCCCTTTCCTTGCTTTCTCTGAGTCTGCCATTGTTTGTGCTTCTGCCTCGTAGCCCTCTTCATTTTTTCCACTGAATCTCCAGGGCAGTCCCCCTGCTCTCGGAATGGATGGTGGGCTTGTCTGTCCCCGATGACCTTCCTTGGGTGCAGCAATGGCCATCAGGAACCAAGCAGCAGCCTCTGCACAGCTCCATCCTGCTTGCTCAGACAAAAGTCAGGCTGGAGTCTGATTTCACAGTGTCTCACTGCGACCTCCACGGGGAAGCCAGCCCGCTGGCCCATGTCCTCTCGGCACACTCTCCACTAGCTTCTTGACTCCCACCTGCTATCTTAGGGTTCCTGGCGGCAGCCGGCTGGGGTAGGGAAGGTGAGTAGGACAGAAACCCTTTGCCTAGAACTGAAATGCCTGTGGATGTGCCTTTCATGACAGATTTTGCTGAGGAGGGAAATCTGCACCTGTTTGGAGTTGGCATCATATTTAGAGAGAGCAAGGGGAAACAAAAACAAAGGCCAGCACATCCGGAGTGATTACTGCCAGAATTACTTACCAAAGACATCTGCGACGCTGTGATCCATTCAGGAGAGATGTGAAAATGAGCGCCAGCTGAGTCTCCCAGCAAAATGATTCCTCTGGGCTGTGAACCTAGGCAGCACAATTGATTTGCATTATTTATGCACTCAAGTAGTTGGGAGCCTCAAGACTGGGAAGTTATGAGAGCAGACACCCCGGTGTGCATTCTATGCACAGACCATCGTAACAGTGGTGCATTGCCAACTTGTTGTGTGCTGGACAGTGAGGGCATAGCGTTTAGGAGCTAAATGAGATTTCTAGGCCATTGAAATGGCTGCTAAGCTATACAGACGCAGGTGGGTTCCCCAGCTCAGCAGAAAACAAACTGCCCTACAACATCCTGAGTGAGTGACGGATGAGTAAATGAATCAAAACTTTAGCTGAACTCGGAAATATGCTCTAAATTTTGGTTCTGGAAATTGCTTTCTTGGAAAAATACACTGATTTCTGTTATAATTCACTTTAAGAGTTAATGATCTTATGGAGCAGTTTTAGTTTTTCAAAGATGTTATGGTCTTTTAAAGCCCTTCATCCACACACGCAAAGCACTGGCTGGACAATTCTGGCTGATTAATGGGGAGATGGATGTAGAAGGGTCTCCTGTGCGTTTGGAGGTTAAGACTCACTTACTGATCCTATACAAATCATTCACCTGTGGATGTACCCTTCCAAATCCCTTAAGATCCTGGAAGAGTCAACTGCTGTCTTCCAGAGGCAGAAAGAAGAGCCTCCTTTCTTCACCTCCAAACCCCTCAAGTCATGTTGGAGGATCGCCCCACCTTGCTACTATGGCTCCCTTGCCGGGGCCTCCAGGGGAGCTGCCCCTTGGACACACGAATGGGGACTGAGAAGGGCCAGGACTTCCAGGAGGGCACAGGGGGTGGACAGTTGAGAACCCAAGAGGCCTCTCGCCATGACCTCCAAGCCTTGCACCAGAGTTTCACCTAGATCTGCATTTACTTATTCATTAATTTATTTGTTCATTCATTATTTTATTCATCCAATAAATATTTCTAAACTTCATAAATATTTAATGGGCCTTGACACTTTCTATCCCCCTTCTTACCCCTCTGAGACCTTGTAGACAAGGACTGTATATTTTTTGCCCATGAAAACTCAGAGCCAAGAATAGCCTTTGGTGCATAATTGAAACAGTTGTTCAGAAAATACCTGTACAATGAATGAATGAATGAGTGTAATGCTCCGAAAGTAGGGAGGAAGCATTGTTTAAACATAAAACAGTGATGTTAGCACAGGGTTTTGTTTCGGACCCTTTAGGAATCACCAGGAGGATGTTTTTAGTAATGGGCGGGCGGGTTTTCCTAACAGTACTGATGGTCCAGCTATCTAGGCGGCATTTGGGCATTTTGAGGACAGAGCTTTCGCTCGGCTATTTTTTGGAACCCCCACAGGATCTAGTGCGGCAGTCTCCCTCCAGTCAATCAGACGTGCATCTTAGCCCAGCGGACACAGGGACCTGCTCTATCAGACCTTGTGGTGTAATGAAGGAAACGCGAAAGATTAAAAGTGTCAGATACCGCCCTTATTTATGTTCCTTTGGAAAAGTGCTGATTTCCGTGACCCTGTTATCCATCCTGGAGCTTTTTCTCACATTATCATTAAAGTTTCCCAATCCTCAGGTGAAGGGGTCAGTTCGACAAATCAGGTTTTGCTTTTTCTAGATCCTACCTCCTTTCCTGAACCTTCTTTATGTGTTTTTTCTGATCTGTCATGAAGATAAATATAAATTGGTCAACTTATAGTAAGCTCTAACATCAGGCACTTCCTGACGCAGGGGGTCTGTTCACTTCAATTTGACTCAGAAAAGAATATTCTATTGTAATAAGCACACAACTTTTACAATTCATACCTTCACAGAATTTCTTTTCATATGGAATTCCATCTTTTGGATCAACACCCTTTAAAAAAGAAATGATGAGATTAGGAGTTTGGTTTTAAATTTATGAGACATACACACTAAATCCTCTCTAAATGGCTTTAAAAGCCCAAAGGCAAAGCAGTAGATAAAACCATTTAAAGTCTCTGAGCCCCTAATCCAACATAGCAACACTGAACACTAGTGAGTTGGGCTTGGGAGGAACCAGGGGTGAGAACAGGAGAGATCCAGAAACTGGCCGTGTCATTCAGAGGGTACAGGGCAGGGTTCTGGGAGGGGTGTCAAGACTGGGAGTCCCACTCCTTGGAGCACTGAGGGCCCATTGAGCGACAGGGGCACAAGGTCAGGGTGGATTCTGCAGTCTCTGAGCTGGAGATCTAAGTGTCCTGACGTCTTTAGTTCCTAAGAACTGATGCTTCTAGAATGACAATTCTCAGTGGAGCTGATCTGGCACCCCACTCCCAGGACATTGGCAATATCTGGAGACATTGTTGGTTGTCACAATAGGGTGGGGGTGCTACTGGCATCTAGTGGGTAGAGGCCAGGGATGCTGTTAAACATCCTACAGGTTACAAGACAGCCCCAACAACAAAGAGTCATCTGACCCAAATGCCAATAGTGCCGAGACTGAGAAACCCTGGAAGTGCAATTGGGCTGTGAGTTAGGACGGGGTTAACACAGCTGTGGTTCCTAACACCTAAAGCTAAAGCTAACCCTTAGTGAAGCAGCCACTCCTTGAAAGGGATATTCATAAAATTCCAAGATGAAAGTGCCTGCCCCTCCTTCTTATGTGGAGTGGCACCCCGTGTCACAGGCAGGGGTGAGGCCACGGAACAAAGAAGCAGCCTCACACACTGACCAACATGATGATGAAGATTGCGTTGGTCAGAACCAAAGCTACCTTGGGGGCTTGACACCTGAAGCTCTAGGGGAGATGTCTTCTCCTCCTCCATGATGGAGGATCGGGTGGGTGGGTGGGGTAATGTGGGGCAACGTCCTCTGTCATAGTTTTCCATACCCCAGAAGCTATGGGACCCACACTCATGCAGCAGGTGGTTGCTGGGGCTGGCCTGGACCATTAGTGTTCTGGAGAGAGGGAAGTATTTATGCAAACTTTCTCCTCTTCATCCAAGCAAATAAATGAGGCAACTATTCAGAGGCAATTTACCTTGAAACCAGGAAATCTTAAGCTTCAAGTCTTAAGATTTGACTTGTTTGAACAGCCCCCGCCCACGTGAGTGCTGGGAGTGCCTGGGAGCTATAGAGTGTTCTTAAGTGGAGAGTGGAAGCCAGGCTGCAGTTAGGATATGTTTCTACATAAGAAGTTTTTTGGTAAATCAGAAAAGAGATCTCAAAAGAAAGGAACCTGAATTTCCAAGCCTCCAGCAATTTGTTGGAATTTCTTCTACTGTTCTAAATAACTCTTACTTTCATACTTGATTTCGTATTTGTAAGTCGTTATTCTTTTCTTCATGAGGAACCCTCAACTCAAGTTAGCTGAAGACTCCACAAGACTTGAGTCTGCTGCCGTCGCTGTCCACAGACAACTATTTCATTGACTTCCTTCCTTCCTTCCCTTTTCTCTACCTGGAAGCTGCGCTGGGGCACCAGTACTAGCTGCCTCGAGGTGCAGGTAGTGGGGTAAACACGGGATAGTTTCTGCTCTGCCTGACAAAGCTTATGAAATAGAAGAAAGTGGCTGCAACAAAATGGTGACAGCGTGTGGTTTGCTCTCACAGCTGTCTGTGCTGCTGTAAGACTTTGCTAACGTTACTCCCAATTTAATCTCGCACTGCTCAAAACAGGGCAAACGGATTAGACGTGGGTAACCTTAAGCAAGGCTTAATGAGGCTGTGACTGAGAGAGCCCCAGTTCTCATTACAGTAGGTCATCAGCACTCTCCGTGTGTGGGCAGAGTGCTGCACCCTTCCCCAGAGTTGCTCGAGACTCTTCCTTCTGGTTCTAGTCTGGCTAAAGTAATAGGCAATGGGCTTCTGGAGAGGATGGAAAAAGACAGAATGGGCTTAAATTTGAATTTAGTTGCTTACCCAAATGCCATTACAGTTTGAATCCTGATGTGCATCCCAGTTGTTTGGCCTAAAAAGAAAACATCAGCGTCGGTCTCGGCACATACTTGTCCCTCAGTGCATGTTAGTTTCAAGAAAGAATGAACAAATGCATGAATGAGTGCTACATGAAATGCCATGGAGAGCCACAAACACTCTTCAGGGAAGAGCGCCACATACCACTGTGTATTGTGACACACTGAAGCCTCCACTCAGCCTCTTTGTATTAATCTTGAATTTAGAATATTTGCTGAGAACAAAACCCAGTCTTTTCCATGATTGACTATATTCATGGACCGTATTGTTGCAGAATGGTGACGATGCACATAATGAACAAATCCACATTCCATTTTACTTAGATAGGTGAAGCCGTTAAAGTTGTGCCTCTAAAATACCCAGACATCTGGTTAATTTATGCTTCGGCACTGTAGTCACAGCCAAGGTGAAGGTTGGCATATCCATTTTTTGAAGTCAGAGATGTGACTGGCTGAACATCAGCTCAGGACTAAAGTGTGACATGCTTTTCATTTATTGGAGCCCTCTTCTTACCCCTGGGGGGAGAAGCCACTATTCCTGGGTCCAATCCTGCAAGTAGAACTCCTATGGGAGGCTGGACAGATGTCCACAATAATCTGTTTACTCGCTTGTTTCTCCCGCTAGACTGTAAGCTTCATGAGACCAGGAGGCATGTTTCTATTTTGTTTACCACCCACCATGATGCAAAGTGCTTGGCAAATAATTGCTGCTCGATAAACATTTCTTGGACAAATGAATGCATAAATGCTGTTCTTTTTCTTCATGCTTTACTTCAATCGGGACATGGAGTTTCCTTCTCTCTGGTAGTGGGAATCTCCTAGTCGGGAAAGAATTACGCATCCTGCCTCCTTTTTGGAGGGTAATTTTCAAAATCAGCAACCAACGGGGATAGTTACCTTCTGCCTGGGTATGCTGTCTCATCACTGTCGTTACAGTCTCTGCCTCGCCAGTGATAGCCCCGCAGTGTCTGAAATTGAAAAGCACACAAAGGAGGGCTCAGTCCTGCCCTGATGTTATCCACAAGTAAGGTTGATCAGAGCTGAGTGACATTTACATGTACAGTTTTTAATCCAAATACAGTCTAGGAACACTAAGGATCGTTAAGAAAATTAAGATTAATATGCTGAGACATGCTGTGTGAGATGAAATGTAACAACACCAGGGCCAATGACGGCGTGTGCACATGTGCGTGTGCCTATTTGTGGGTGTGCTGGGGTGCATGTGTGTGGATGTGCATGTGTATGACAGGGGCATGCATACAGCTATGTGGTGTTTATGTTCATGCATGTTGCAGATCTGTGTACATGAGGGTACTTCAAAAAGTTCATGGAAAAATGGAATTAAAAGGTAATATGAATCCTTCCATGGACTTTCTGAAGGACCCTCGTATGTACACGTGTGCCTGTGTGTATGTCATGTGTGTGGCTATGTGCACCTCCAGAAACAGCAGGACCATCCAACTTCCTGAAATTCCTTTATTAACCACCAGTCTGTTCTAAAACAATTGGTTTATTTGGCCAAATGATTAACCATTTCATTGAATAATTAAAAAATCTCTAGCCAAACTTAATTTATATCTTTGACTTGACTGATTTGAAAGAACCACGAGTCACAATAATGTCAAACAATGTTTTTATTTCCTTCATTCCCAACTAGAATATCTGAGCTTCCCCCAACTTTGGGGAGTTTATAACCTGTTACTTATTTGTTTGCATTCAAAGAGAACACCCTGACATACAACCGGCTCTAAAATGAAACACGCACGCCTGCCACATAAACACACGCGCACACTTTAGAAAAGTAAGTTAAAGAAGGTTGAAGAATTTCCAAAAAATTCATAATATCTTTCAAGATAACTGGATGAGGGTACTTCAAAAAGTTCATGAAAAATAGAATTAAAAGATAATACAGATCTTTCCATAAACTTTTTGAAGACCCCTGAGAGTACCCACTGGGAATTCCAGCCGCGAATGGAAACACACACGGTCTGGGCCTAAGATTTACTTTGACAGCCCGTATATTATTACAATGCAAAAGTGTTTAGAAATCGTAAAATGATTCACCAAATTAATAATACATCCAAATGAAATTTAGTCCTGTCTTATTAAAGGAAAGAAATTCGTAGGAAGCGACATAATATGTAGGGAACATCTGGTTATTCATAATAATACTTACTGGGAAAATGCTGTATTTGTCTGAATCTACGTCTTTGAAAGGCACAGAATTTTTTATGGCTCTAGAAAAAGAAAACAAAACACCTGGTGAGCTAAGAAAAAAAGAAACAATGTTTGTGAAAACAAATAGGGACATTTTCAAATGCAGCTGTGTAGAGTTTACGCAACAGAGGGCCATTCTAAGAATAAAGCTGAGGGTCCGCTGGTGTGTACGAGCGCCAGCCGGGCTCTGCCAGTCTCTGCTCCACCCACCAGAACTGTTTTGTCCCTGGTATTTAACTTGGCCCACACGGGGAAGTGAAATAACTGAACTGAGGTTTTAGAGGGCGTGGGATACTGATGCTGAGAACCCCAGGAAACAGGAGGCTGCATTTTGGGTCCAGTCAATGAACTCCGATTGAACTTGTGCCAGTTTATACATTCTGGTGAGACAGCCTCTTCCTAAAACTTTGCTCTTTTCAATCACTTTTTCTGAGAGTCTCGAGGCATTCAGTGTCATTAGTTGGCAACTTTCCCACCCATCATGAGCCTGGGTAAACTAGGACCCTGATGTGATGACCAAGCACATTCATGCCAAGGCCATGGGCACACCACGAGGGAGGATTTGCCCTGTGACCGCACTTCCAGACCTTTCCCAGCTTCTAAATGGCAAACACTGCTTTCCATTTAGGAAAATCACTTACAGGGTGTGTGTGTGGGGGTGTGTGTGTCACAGAGTAATGTGGTCACATGACAGGGTGAGGCTCTTCTGGGAGCCTAGAATTTAGAGTGAGTAATGTGACCCTTTAGAGGGTTTACTACGTGGTCTTTTGAACCCAGTGCCCTTGAGCAGCCCTGAGCACCTCAGGCAAACGAATGCAGCCAGACGGCGAGAAGAGTGGGGCCTGCCTGGTAGCCTGGAGCAGGAGCCAGGAACTCAGGGATGGAGGACCCAGCAGAAGTCCGGGTCACAGGCCTCTTTGGGAAAACACTACAGGAGACTGTGCTGGTTATTTTAGCCTCTATGGCTATGGAGCCTGCATTCTGCTCCGTGAATCTGGGGCTGGGAATTTTGCAAAATCCCCTGAACTGGACCTGGCGCTGGTGGGAAGAGCCAGGAGGGGAGACAGAGCTGTTCTCTCTCTCTCTCTCTCTGGATGTTCTTTTCGGTGACCCACGGGGCCACTGGTGGACGCGCAGCAGCCCAGCAGCCGGTGGCCTCCTGGGCCTGGTCACACCAGTCCCCCCTTTTGCGTCCTCCGGCTGTCCTGGGGGTGTCGCCGCTTCCCGTCGTGCTCAGTGCTTCACCTTCCTGCTCTGCTCTGTCAGCCTGTTCCACGCTTCTTCAGCGCTAAGTCCTCTGCGTGGGACGCCCGGGGGTCTGCTCCCCGACTGGACGTGGGGAGTGGGTCAGGGTCGAGCGGGCGGGTGCCACCTCCTCACCTGGTGGCCTCTAGCATCTTAGAGAGGATCGGCTCTCAGAATGTCTCTTGCCAGGTATGGACTAGAGCGAGGTGCTTCATCAGGGCAGCAGGGTCAACAGCTGGAGTCCCTCTCCAACCTCTACCTCCTGCCAGCTCTGTGATCCTAGGAGACTTAGGTCACCTCTCGAACCTCTTTTCTTCCTCTGTGTAATGTGTCAAATGCCACCTCCCTCTCAGGGTTTACTGGAAGGACGAAATAGGATGACATGAAAAGCACCTTCCCGCCGCTGTGGTCACGAGCTGCTGTCCAAGTGGAGAAGTCCCCTTCGGTTTGGGGTGGGCAGGGGTGGGCAGAGCCAGAGGGGACCGGCCTCAGGGACTAGAAAGGTCCTACTCCCTGGCCTCAAGAGAGTTAGAACCCGCCCTAGGGAAGGCGGCGAGGGCATGCTCCTGTTCCAGTCACAATCCCAGTGTGCACTGTGGCCAAATCCTGCTGCCATGTCACCCAAAGCTTTGGTTTCCCCACACTGGAGCGGGGATGAGCGTTCCAGAAGGGGGCTCAGGGAGGCCTAAGGCTGCTCTCTCCCGAGGGAGGGGAAAAGGTCAAGATCACGGCGAAGATCCTCTCCTGTTCGGACGTTCTGGGGTTCATATACCCAAGAAATGCAAGAAATGTTGAAAAAGCTTGGATCAAATGACGTACAATCATGTAGCATAAGTTGTGACCGTGAAAATAAGTTTTGGAAAAGGCTTTGAAGATTGCATGTCCTATGACACTAGGTAGTTCCTTTCCCATGTATGTATCTGACCTCTTGGACAGCTGTTTTGTTTTTCTAGTTGAGAAAAAGAGAGAGATAGAGAGAGACATGGCACGGATCTAAACAGCCCATACTTTCAGTCTGAGAAAAGGTGAAAGGTCTCACTTCAGTATGCCAGAACCATCCCTTCCGACCTTTTCCATCTTGGGGGCGATAGTTTGTCCTTGAAGGAAGGAACAAAGAACTGTCTCTAGAACTTGAAAGGTAGCTCGTTAGCCTTTGAAGTCTCAGAGGGGCTGACCCAAGCCAGGCATTCTGGACACCAGAGGGTAGACTGGTCACCTAAAGCAGCATGAAGTGCGACTCACAAACTCCACAACCCCTTATTCACAGCCCCCTAATACAAATTTTTTTCCCCAATTTTCAGCAACTTCATTTGATGGGGCAAAACTTGACCTGAACTGACATAAGGCAATTCATAAACTTTACCCTACTTAGTGTGACAATTCATTCATTTTACTCTGAAATATAAATGTGTTTGATCAAGAGTGCTGGGGACATTAGGTGAGGTATGGTATACACACCAAATGCTACTTTCCTAAAATATGAAATTCTGAATTCGAAATGATGTCTGGCTCTTGAATAAGGCATTTTTGACTTTTACTAAAATTGTTTCTGCAAAATTGCATCTAAACTTGATACCTTGTGTATCCTTAAAGCTGTATGTTGAAATGCTCATTCATTCATTCATTCATTCATTCCACAGGCAGTTGTGGAGTCCCTGCTGTGTGCTGGGCAGTGCATTAGACACTAGGGATGAATACAAGTTACATTTTCTGCACATGAGGGATTTAACAATAAGTGGGGAAAAACAGTGGATCAATAGATAACTACAGTACTATGGAGAAAATGCTGTAAGAAGGTTGTGAACCTAGAGGGAAAACATTTCTAACTCTCTATAGGGAAAAGAGATCTTCAGGTGAAACCTAAAGGATGAGAAAACACTTTCAAAGCAAATAATTTGGTGAAGGCATCCTCGTAGGAAGGAAAAGCCATGGGAAGCCCCTTAACATAACTTAACGTGAAATTAGACTCTGGGTTTGAACCCAGGTGTACTGTCTACTTTCTATGCGACCTGAGGCAAATCATTCTTTTTGTACCTCAGTTTCCACGTTTGTAAAATAGGACCAATATCATTACTTAGGGATATTATGAAGATTGAATTGATATGTGTAAAGCATGAAGAACTGCATACAGTAAGCACTCAAAAACATTAGCTCTTACTGTTATAGGTTGAGTATCCCTTATCCTAAATGCTTGGGACCAGAGTGTTGCAGAGTTTGATTTTTTCAGATTTTGGAACATTTGCATTATATTTACCAGTTGACCACCCCAGATATGAAAATCTGAAATCCAATATGCTTGAATGAACATTTCCTTTGAGTGTCATGTGGCTGCTCAAAAAGTTTTAGATTTTGGAGCACCTTGGATTTCAGATTTTCGGACTTGGGATGCTCAACCTGTCTGGTGTGCGGTGGGAGTGCTTGTTGTAAGGCTCTAAAGGTTGCTGCCTGGGCTGGTCAGCAGAAGTCAGGAGTCTGCTCTTATCACAGCTTAGTTTTAGAGACATCCCAAATGCAATTCAGATTTTCCAGGTTCGAGGCACACAGTGTTCCTTCCAGTCTTCGTGCAGTCTGTGAGGCTGCCGCTGCTCGGGAACTGACTGTTGCCAGATGTCGGGCTAGCAGGCTTGATCCAGGCAGAAAGTGTAGTTGCGCTGAATGTTATTAATCAATGTTGAGCTATTCAAGTTTAATTTCCCTACAATAATTTCATGAAACAAGGGCAGTATAACAAAGGAAAAATTGTCAGAATAAATCTTCACGTGGACCTGCCTCACATTTTGGTCCCCGACAGCACTGGAGGGCTGGGAGGGGTTGGTCGTGGATGTGAATGTGTCATGTAGATCTCTGTGAGATGGGACCAGAGAAGAGCAACCGGGGAAGGATACCCCTGACCTGCTGACATGGTCACTTTGCTGGGAGGCAGGGGTGATGTGGGTGGAAGGGGCAGGGAGATGGGGAAGGAGGAGCAAGGAAGAAAGGAAAAGAATATAATGGTGAATTAAAAACACAGTAACATGGGATAAGATAGTCTATATGAATTTATGGGAAATAACATATATATAGGTTTATGCATATAGAAATTAAATAAAAATAACAGATTATTAAAAGAGGGGGCCCTCCTAACTTATCGTTGTTGCAATAAAAAATTGAGAGCGTGTAGGCACTGTGAATTGCGGTCAAAACAAAACAACAACAGACTCGACTGCCCCATGGTAATGGCCTGGTATCCTACCATGCTTTTTTCTTTATTTATCCCCTCATTTCTTCACTGAGTTCCTACTAATGCTAAGCACTGAGGTAGGTGCCAGGGATGAGAAGTTCACTGAGAAACGGAATTCCCTGCTCTCTGGGAGCTTCCAGGCTGTGTAGGAGACCAGCGGGGAAGCAGCACTTGCAAAGCAGGTGACAGGAACAGGCACTGCGGGCTGGGGACCCTGAGGAGGGCTGGCCATGCTGGGAGCTAGAACACTTCCCAGGCATGGGGACCCCTGGAAACCCTTTGAAGGTGTTAGGCCAGACAGGGTGGGCAGCAGGGAGAGGTACAGAGCGAGAAAGGCGTTCATCCTGCAGGGACTTTATCAAAGGGCTGTGCAATAGAAGACACTGAGGTCTCATCTCTACCACCTGCAGACTTGTGCTAGTGGGGCAGGCAGTTAAAAACTACTTGCTCGGGGCCGGCCCGGTGGCGCACTCGGTAGAGTGCGGTGCTTGGGAGCACGGCAGTGCTCCCGCCGAGGATTCGGATCCCATGTGGAGACCGGTCAGCTCACTGGTTGAGCGCGGTGCGGGCACGACACCGAGGGTTGCGATCCCGTTGCCGGTCGCAGTACGGGCGCGACACCGTGGGTTGCGATCCTGTTACCGGTCACGAAAAAAGACAAAAAGGAAAAAAAAAAAAAAACCTACTTGCTCATCTAAAGAGTAAGGGGCGAGGGCAGTCAACAGAACCAGACTGCTGGATTTGAAGGTCAGATTTGTCCATTGCCAGCTCTGTGGCCTTGAGCAAGTGACTTTCCCTTTTTAGAAAGAAAACAGTAATGGTGGCTGCCCGAAAGGGTTGCATTTACAACAGTTCTTGACACATACATAGCATCAGATAACTCTGAGTTATCATTATTACTACTGAACTGCAGGTTGTTTTGAAGAATAAATGAGGCTGCATTTGAAGGCGCTTTGTAAATCATAATGCACTGAGCACATTGTGACCTGGTGCAAAGTATACTTGAAGCATAATCACTTTTAGGAAGAAGAAAAACACTGTTTTTGCTTTTTCATAAAAATGAATAGTTTCCCTTTTGAATTGAGCCAAGAAAATCCCTGGCCACAGATGCACTTGAATTCAATTTTTCAAAGTAGTTCAGTTGAAGAGTTGTCACTTTGGCACTGCGGGGTCCTGCTGGCCCACATCTGACACAGAAAATGCAATGATGCGCTCTGCAGGGAGGGGTCAGGGTCTCAGGTCAGCAGGAGTGAGGCATGATGCAGGGATGGGGTCCTGGGGACCACTGCACCTCTCATGTCTGATAGTCCCCTCTGCTCCCATGTCCTGATTCTCTCTATATCCACCTCCATTTATGAGAAGGGAGGTGGCTACTATTTCTGGGACCCAGGCCAGCACTTCGTGCAGCTGGCTTGCAGGGCTCATGCTGGCAGATGAACTGGGACAGGTTTTTAACTCTTGTACCCCTGTGAGGCTTTGAATGTGGGTCAGAGCTATAGCCTCATCTTCTCCCCAGATATTTTCACAACAGACTGGAGATGTTCAGTGGATTTAGCTCCCATGAAGCTCAGGAGATGAAAGATGGCAGAACATAGGAAAAGTGTCTCTGTAATGAGTTGAACTGTGTTCACCAAAAAGATATGTTGAAGTTCTAACCCCTGGTCCCTGTGAATGTTACCTTATTTGGAAATAGGGTCTTTGCAAATATAATCAAGTTAAGATGAGGTCATTAGGGTGGGCCCTGATCCAATATGACTGGTGTTCTTATCAAAGCAAGAGACACGCAGGGAAGATAGCCTTGTGTGAAGACAGGGGCAGAGACCGGAGTTGCGCAGCTGGGAGCCAAGAAACGCCCAGGATTGATGCCAGCATTAGAATCCGGAGAGACAAGGAAGGATTCCACCTGGAGTCTCAGGGGGGAGTGGACCTGCTGATGCCTCTACTTTGGACTTCTAGCCTCCAGGACTGAGAGAGAACACATTTCTATTGCTCTAAGCCATTTAGTTTGTGGTACAGTCAGCCCTCTGTATCAGGTGGTTCTGCATCTGTGGATTCAACCCATCGCAGATCAAAAACATTCGGAAAAAAAAAATTGCGTCTGTACTGAACGTGCACAGACATTTTTTCCCCTTGCCAGTATTGCCTAAGCAGGACAGTATAACAACTATTTACATTATATTTGGTATTTTAAGTAATTCTAGAGATGATTCAAAATATATGAAGGATGTGTATAGGTGATGGCAAATACTGCACCATTTTATGTCAGAGAATTGAGCATCTGTGGATTTTGGCATCTGCAGGAGGTCCTGGAACCACTCCCCCACGAATATTCAGAGACAACTGTATTTTGTTATTGCAGACAGAGGAAACTAATATAGCCTCTCAGTCCAGACATGCAGCCTGACTGTCACCGCTGGTCATTCTCAGGTCTAACCTGCCTCAATGAGAGCCAGGCTGGACTAGAATGGGCTAAAGTGGTAGGAGCTCCAACGGGGGAGTAATGGTAGGAGAAATGGGCTGGAGCAGACGGTGTGGTCTAAACAAGCATCTCACAGCAAAAGAGCATTATTTGAAGTCATCTGTACATGTGGCGTTATAAAGCATCATCTGTACGTTTGGCGTCTGCAGTCTGGCACCTGAACTGGAAGGTGAGTGCTGGGGAGGATGCCAGCAACCCAGGAGTGAAGGTGTGGGGTCCAATTGCCCAAGAATCACCTGGAAAACTTTCAGGTAAGTGCTGTGCCCTCCCACAAGGTCTGGGGCCAAGGACTCTGGATTTAAAAAACTTCCCAAGTGATTCTGAGGAGTAGCCAGAATTTAGTTTATATTTTAATTTTAGATATGGGGAAACAGGCTCAGAGACATTAAGTGGCTCAAGTTCCCAAAGATGGTTCAAGAGGCAGCACTGAAAAGGCGTCAAGAGTATGTATGTTCCCAAAGAATGTGTGGGGTCAAACACACCTGGGGTATGTCTTGGGTCTTCAGTGGCCTGAGGAAAGTTACTTCATTAAGGCTCAGTTTCGTTCACTGTGAAATGGGAATAATAATAATTCCTACCTTGTGGAGTTGTCATGAGAGCTAAACGAGGACGAGGACATATGTTGAAAGTTCAGCACCTGCCATCTGGAACAGCGTCGCATGTTACCTGGCAGCAGCAGTGGTGGCGGTGGCTGTTGCAGAGGCAGCTGAGTGAGGGCAGAACCCACACCGTTGGCCTCTTAGCCCACTGTCCCTCTCACGGTTCCATCTCGACCTTTTGCACAGTGATGACTGCATCTAGCATAATCTCAGACTCCAGATGCAGCTAGAGTATGGGGTTTTAAACTGAGGCAGGAGGGCTCAGGAATTCTGGACAGTGTCTCTCTCCTCAGAACCCTGTTAATGTATATCAGAGGCAGATTTTCAGGTCATAGATTGGATTCTGTGAAAAAACCGTTCCTTTCCAGCCTCGTGAGTGTCTTGCACTGAAGATACTCTAAGGTTCCCTGCATGACCCGTGGCCGGCCTGGCCTGTATCTGACGCAGCAAGAGGGGCTGTCCCCTGGTGTTGCGGGAGGGGGCCGAGCCGTGTGGAAGGCCTTGCAGCGGGCTGTGTCCCAGCCACGGTGCAGACCAGGCTTTGAGATGCGGAGACCAAAGCGATTTCGTTCACAGCTAATTCGTCTTCGAGTTTCTGTACAAGTCAGGTTTTGAGCAGGAAACACTTTCGCTTTCAGGAAGATGCCTTTTAAATGTGAAGATCATTTTAGTCATAGAAAGCAGGGACAGCAAAGATGTTAGGTGCTCAGAAAGGTAGAAATAGTATACATACGATTTAATTTCCTGACAGATCTTGACCAAAAACGGGAGTGCGCAAATGTCAGAACCACTGCTAGGATATTTCTGGGGAGAAAACAAAAATACAGAAAGAGTTGCTGAGTTCGAGGAACATTCCCCATTTTCTAAGGGCCCGTCTGTACTTTCCGTCCTCTGGAGGCTGGCTCCCTGTCACTCCTCTAACTTCGCCTCTGGTTCCTGCCCCTACACTCCACGTTCATCCCACCTCCTGCACCTTTGCTGGCGCCGGCTCCCCAGCCGGGGGCACCCCTGTCCCCCTCAGCCAGCGGCGTCCCCACCCACACGCCCGCCCTGGCTCGCCACCTCCTCCCCAGGCATCTGGCCCACCGTGAGCTGTCTCCTCTGATAACATTCCTCTCCCTCATTCGACCCAAGTGCTTCCAAAAAGGACTTGAAAATAAGAAACACTTTCAACTAAAACAACTCCATCCTATTACGAGGTAAAATAAAGACTAAAGGGAGAGACACCACTTGGGAAGAGGAAGGTCCCTCCCTGGGGCGGTGTGCAGACAGCTCCTCACACTTCCTGAGCAAAGGGATTCACATGGTGCTTTGCAGACATTCTAGGTGTGTGATAAATGGAAAGGCCTGGCTTTTCACTAAGCAGTCCTTTTGAAAGATTGCGGTTTCCATGATGCTTTCTTCCCATGAAAGAAAGAAAAGACAACAGAGTAGAAAGAGTTAGGAACCGTATTTATCAACGAGGCTGAGAGACAGTCAATTCCTGCCAGCCCAGAGGCCTTCAGATGGCTGTGAGGTGTATTATAGGCATCGGTGATAGTTTGACCCTGGCAAAGAGAATCCACACCTTTTTCAAAACATAAATGAGATATTGAAGTATTTTTGAGATGTGTGCGCAGCTTTCTAGGAGCAGAGGAGCAATCCTGGCTAGCACCCCCACCACTCTGCAAGACATAGAGACACAGAGGCTCTCCTTGTCCTCAGTTCACCATCTAGAGAAGGGCATGGGTGGATATCCCAGCTCTGGGCACACCTTGTGGGGTCTGCAGTGGCCGAGGCATTAGAAGGGGTCTCTAGGACCCCGAAGGATGATGCAGATGGTCCAGAAGTCAGGCAGGAAGGAGGCAGGTAGAAAGGAAAAGGCTGATGTCCTGAGGCTTTGTGACTCAAAGTGCAGTCCACAGCCTTGCTAGAGATGCAGACTCTGGAGCCCCCCAGATGTACTGAATCAGAGGTCCTGGGGTGGTGCTGGCAAGCTGTGTTTCCTCCAGGTCATTCTGATGCCCACTAGGGCTTGAAAACCACCACTCTAGGTGCTCGCCACTTGAGGTGCGTTCTTAGACCGGGAGCACTGATGCTACCCGTGAGCTTTTAGACATGCAGCTATAGTCCCTACCACTCCTGCTGTGGGTCAGCTGTGTCCCCCAAAGGTTCATGTGTTAGAGACTTGATTTTCATTGTAACAGGGTTAAGAGAGTGGGAAATCCTATTACAGTAATTGAAAGGTGGGGCCTTTAAGAGGTGATTAGATTGCGAGGACTGTGCCCTTGTGAATGGATTGATCCTTGATGGTTTAATGGGTGGTCATGAGTGTGGTTCTGATGGCTTTATAAGGAGAGCGAGTGAGCAGGTTAGGTCTCCCTTGCTCAGCCCGTTCTCATCATGTGTTACTCTGCATTGCTGTAGAGAGTCACCACCAAGAAAAATGTTCTCAATAGTTGTGTTCTCTGGACTTTGGACTTCCCAGCCTCCAAAACAGTAAGGAATCAATTCTATTTCTTTATACATTGCTCGGTTTCAGGTATTCTGTTATAAGCAACGGAAATGGACTAACACACCCACCACCTACTGTATCACAATCTGTATTTTAATAAGGTCTCTCAATGCATACTGAAGCTGGAGGAGCCTGGCTCCCCACCCAGTGCTATGGAGGTGGAGATGGTTTGGCAAGGTTTGGCATCGTAGTGGACTGCCGAACATCTTGGCTTGGCTGGAGCATCGGGAGCCACAGAATGTGGTAAACCATGGAAGAAAGGAGATGTTAGGACAAGCCTTGGATGTGGTACCACGAGTCACCCTGAGGACACTGGGGATTCGTGAAGGTGTCAGGCAGGGAAATCACATTTGTATCTCAAAAAGATATCTCCAGGAGTGGGAGGATACCCGGAAGAGATGAGATGGGGCAGAGAGGACATTAGAGATAAGAGGCCCTGAGGACTGATCCCAGCGTTTCTAACCTCACACTGCTGCCGTTTAGGCCTGATAAGAACTCAGCCTTTGCTGTGTGACTATCCTCTGTGCTGTGGGATGCTTGGCAGCATCTCTGACATCTACCTACTATATACCAGCCCCACAAATCTGTTCCAAGACATGCCATCCCCTGGGGTGGAGGTGAGGAACAAGTTTGCTGCTGGTTGGGAACAACTGATGTAAAAAGGGGAAGGGTGCAAAGAAGGGGTGTTTAGGAGATTGAACCCAGAGACGTGGTAGCTGATTGAGCTCTGGATTGTAGACCCACTGAAAAACAAACATCAGCATGACATTATACCACAATGTCGATGGCAGTTTGGAAGCATAGGTACATTCTGAGACCCAGAGTCCAAAGTCAGATTGCATCTGAATGTTTGAGCTACTTCTTTTAATATTTGCTTTAGTCTAAAGGCCTTGGTTTAATTATCCTGATGACAATGTAGGTTTTAACAGAGATGATAACCAATACATTAAAAAAAATTTATATCGACAGCCTTATAATTACTACACAAGAGGTATAATAGAATAAAGTTTTATAATTGCACAGCTGTTTGCTATCACAATTCAGCCTGACAGCTGCAGCTGTATTTGAAATTCATTGTGTAGAAACTGGAGTGAGGAATTGGGGATAGATGATGTAGCTTACCCAGGGACTCCCCAGAACTACTCCTGTTTAGACAGAGGTTTTGATTTTCTGGTCTTTTCATCACACGTTACGGGAAAGACCATCCTCTTCTTACAATTTACTTGCAAAGAGACTGAGAAGGGCCCAAGCAGCACCACAGATGACCTTGCTCGCATGTCTGCCAGCCTCTTCCTTTCAGTTTGAACTTTGGTAGACAGAAGCAAAATGTGGCTGTTACTAACTCAGCCATGAATTTAAAATATTGCATCTGGTTGCGTCTAATCCGATCTAAAATAAAAGTCTCAAGTCTGGGCTGCCCCTGGCACAGGAGTCACGCAGCCTCCTCACTTTGCAATGCAAGCTGCCGCTTGCATTCTGAGCCTCGCCACACACTAGAAGGTCACATGAACGCAGAACAACAAACAGGGTTGAAGAAGAATGGGGTGAACGGGGTAAGTGGAAAGTCAAAGCGGGAGAAGAACCACTCTTCTGTGCACAGCCAACCTGAACCTGAGTTTCTGCACAGTGAAGTGCTTCTTAACCCGTGTTGTGTGTTATATTACCTGGATTTAATTGATCTGGGGTGGGGATTGGATGTCAGAAATTTTTAAAGGTTTCCCAGATGATTTTATCAAGCAGGTAGGTTTGTGATTGGGCCTTGACGTGCAACTACCCAAGGTGTCCACTGTACGAGTCTATTATCCACATAGCTTGTGATATGAGCGGTGCTCCCTGAGGTTTAGCACTGAAGAAGCCTGCTTGTGGGCTTTGGTGTAGTACAAGGGCTACCAAGCTTGGAAATAGCTAGCTCTGGGTTTAAATGATGGTTTCTCACTTACTAGCTGTATTAGCACATTTCCGTTGCTTATAACAAAATACCTGAAAGTGGGTGATTTATGAGGAAAAATAAATTTATTGCTTACAGTTTCTGAGGCTGAGAAGTCCAAAGTCCGTCTGGTGGCGACGACCATGACCCAGGGGTCTCACATTGCAAGATGGTGGAAACAGAGAGTGAGAAAGTTCCTCATGGGCTCTCCTTTTAAAGCCCTCAGAACCACACCCCTGACCATCATTTTTTAAAAATTATTTTATTTATTTATTTATTTATTTTTTGCCTTTTTTTTTGTGACCGGTAAGGGGATTGCAACCCTTCAGTGTGGTGTCGCCCGCACCATGCTCAGACAGTGAGCGCACCGGTCCTATATAGGATCCGAACCGCGGCGGGAGCGTCGCTGCACTCCCACAGCTGCACTCTCCCGAGTGCGCCATGGGGCCGGCCCCTGACCACCATTTTTAACCCATTCACTAGGGCACGGTCCTACAATCTAATCACCTCTTCAAGGCCCCACCTTTCAATCACCATAATAGGATCCCCCTCTTCCCCCTTTAACAGTCACGGTGGGGGCTAAGTTTCTAATACATAAAACTTGGGGACACAATTCAAGCTTCAAGGAGTTTTGGGGGGACATAATCCAATCCACTACCTTAGCATGTGAATTGAACACATTACTTAATCTACCAGAGAGTCAGTCCTCTCATCTGTGAAATGAGATTAATAACATGAATGCTCTATCTACTTTGTAGAGGTGAGAATTAAATAAGATCATTCCATAACTAGGTACGTAAACCCTTAGATGCTCAGTGCTCTGGCAAAACCATGAAAAGTCTCCCTGAAGAGCCTTTCGTGGCCTCATGGACATGAGACTTTTTCTGGAATGTTTGATTCTCTTCAACAACACATGACGTTTCCCCAGTCTGGATTCTCACGGTCTGATAGGCTATGCTGAAATGATATGCAACCTACTGTGCGTTGCTTTCTGTGTACTCACTAGGTCTGCTGTTACCTTAGCCACACCAGAGGAATTAACTGCAGCAGATATTCTCTGAGCAGTTTTTCAAAGACACCTATTTGCATTTTCTGATTATATTTTCCTTGATAGCTTTAATCTAGAGAGTAAACAAACTGAGGAAGTTTTCTGAGAAGTCTTTTAATTGTTGAATTGTTCAGTAGAATTTTTTCTTTTTCTTTTTTTGGCTTCTCACAAGTAATTATTGGAATCCTGCCCCACGAATTATGCTTGCAATTCTGGTGACAGAAATAAAAATTGTAAAATCCTAATTAGCCTTTGAGTTAATGCCAAGGCAGTTTGTACTAGTGAAGTAAACAATACCCTGAAAATAAGTTTTTAGATGTGTGTTGAGAAGAATAAAAGATGATTATATTATTCTCCATTTCTGCTCAGCGTTCTCAAGGTGGAGGTCAAGGGTTTCCTGTGGTGTTTTAATTTCTTATTCAATGACTTAAGCAGATTAGCTAAACTGGCTACTGTTGGCCCTTAATTATTTACTGAATTAAATAATGATTGGCAATACAGACATTGTGATCGACTCTATCAATTGTGTGGAAATGTCTGCATATTGCCATTTAATACGTATCGGCCTTGTACATCAAAACCCATACGCCCACCAGGAGTAGGATTGCCAGATGAAATATTGTACTAGACACGCTTATACTAAAACATTATTCTCTGTTTATGTGAAATTCAAATTTAATACGGCATTCTATATTTTCACTTGCTAAATCTGGCAAGCCTGGCCATGAGGGATTTTCCTCCCTTTTATTTCCATTTGCCAAATCAATAATACGCTAAATGCATCGCATCAAGGTGAGTGATGAGCCAGGCCAGCAGGGACAGGCTGAGGACAGTGTCCGAGCCCTCCCACTGCTATGAGTGCTGCCTTGTGGCCAGGATCTTTAGCATCAAGGGTGATGCTGTTCTTTAACGATCTGCTCTCTGCTTCCTTTTCAATCGGGGCTGATTTGCAACCAGGGCCTAAGTCAAATACTTAAGCCCATGGGAACGTATTTGAACTAAACATTCTATCTGTTGAATGAAAGTGTTGATACAAAGAGAACAGAGTAGGGGAGATGAGTAACGATGGCTGTGACTTTAACATTTATTGGGTACCTGGCAAGTCCAGCACGACAGCAGATGCTTTACACACATCAGCTCCACCAGTACGTACATCACAGGACGCCATCATCGTCTCTATCTTGCAGACAAGACAACTAAACCGAGGCTCAGCAAAGTCAAACACCTTTGCCTAAAGTCACAGTTTAGAAAGTGGAGGAGCTGGAGGATACAGCCCCCTCCAAAATGGAGAGTGGCAGTTCTCAGGTGGAGGTATTTTGCTCCCCAGGGGACATGTGGCAATGCCAGGGGGCATTTTTGCTCATCATGACGGGGAGGGGTGGATGGTGCTGCTGGCATCTAGTGGGCAGAGACCGGGGATGCTGCTAAACACCCTACAACACATGGGACAGCCCAAAATGTCAGGAGTGCTGAGATTGAAAAACCCTGCTGTGGAGAGAAGGCAGGGGAAGCGGGGCAAGGGGCTCATGTTCCTGCTTCAGTCCCAATACAGCCACGGCGTGCTGTGGGCTTGCTCTTGGGGCGTGAAAGCAGGGCAGCGAGGGGCGAGCATGCCAAGGGACGGGCTGGCATTCCCTCTGCCGGCCGCTTACCAGAGTCAGGGATTTCTCGACTGTTCGTCTCGCCTTCTCTAGCGTAAGTGTCCACGCCTCCTACAAAAGCAAAGTCAGACAACATGACAACTCTTGTCTCATCTTTTCTTCCTATGTCCTTTGTAAAGTTAGGATTTTTAATCTCTGTAAGTTTGTAATAAACAAATAATTCCATAAATTTATGATAAAATAATTCATAAGAAGGCAATTTCATGTTAATAGCTGCCTTTATTAAGGACTTTTTACTCTGTGCTAGGTGCTGTGCTAAGTACTTTGCAAACATGATCTTATTTAAACTTCACAACAGCCCTGAGAGATATGACTGTTTTACAGATGAGGAAATCAAGATACAGAAAAGCTAAGAAACTGGCTCAAGATCGCACAGCTAACGTCTGGCAGAGACGTGGTCTGAACCTTGCTTCCAGATTGCTGTGCCACACTGTCTTCCTAAGTAGCCTTCGTCTAAAAGCCCCAGGGCAGGAGGCTGTCAACAGCCTCTGCACAAAGAGCTGACAAGCACTGCCCTGCACACTGACACTCCGCCTCTCACCCACCTCCCCTTCCCCTGGTTAGAGATCCCTGTCCTCCTCCAACCATTCTAGAGCAGCTGGGTGTATCTTCCAAGTAACACACACAGCAGCACAAAGAGTTAGTTCATTATCACCGACAACAATTGGGCTGTGAAACTCCAAGGGCCAGTGCATTTGTGTGTGTGAGGGAGGCCTGGGAGGAAAGTGGCACTGGGCTGGGGTGGGGTGCGGAGGATTTGCTCCCAGCACTGCTGCCCAGGGTTTTATCTCCTTGGTGCAGATGACCTAGCCTGGCCACGTCCCTTCTTGGTCTGCTCCCTGTGCAGTTCCTAAAATAGTCCCCTCTCAATAACTGATAAGTTTACTGGGAAACTCTGTCTTTTACACACAAATCAGTAGGGAAGTTGGGATCTGGGGTAGGTGCCATGGTTCTCACTCCAGGCAACTGAGAATGCTGTGCCTGTGTTCAAGCAGTGACAACAGATGCTGGCCGGGGCACTTTGAGGTGGCCGGTCAGCGAGAGGAGGCTCTGGGGACATGCCGGCATGGCGGCCAGTGGGTGCTCGGAACTGGTGTCCCTACCTAACTCTTGCTTGCTCTTCACCCTGAGAGCTCCCCGTCTCCACTCTGGAGCTAAGTGTTGTTCTGACAACATCAGCCACATTGAATGAACATGTGAGTGAGACGGGACTGCTCCCCGTGAACCTGGTTGTGGTGACTTTTCCAGTACGTGCTGCAGAAAGGAGGGCGCCAGGGCCACCCGCACCCCGACCTCCATGCGCAGGCCTGAAACGCTCTCTCTGGTTTCTGGCCCTAATTATACTCCTCTCAGTTGCTCAGTGGATGCAAATGCATCTCTTGTGTCAAAGGCAGTGGGCCAGTTGATGTCTAAAAGTGCACGTTAATGACTTGAGAGAAGAAGATGCTTTCCAGGTGGGTTTTGTTGCCAGGATGCGCTGGTACAGAGTATGTTTATTACGACATTGAAACACTACTGTGCAAGTCTGTGACTGCTGTGTCCCTCAGGCCCCAAGTGCCCCCGCAACTGCCCTGGCCACCTACCTCTTCCTAGGACTACCCAGACCTCCTTGTGATCGGTCAACTAGGGGGGTCAATGTGATGGTGCCACCCACTGGCACCTCCGGACTGTGCTCCAGCATCACACCCAGAGTGTGTTCTGATGGGCTGGCAGTATGGGCAAAATAGTTATCACAGTCCCCACTTTTAAAAGATAGACATCTTTAACAGAAGGATTGCTTAATGAAAAAAGTGACCTTACTAAAGGCACTTCTGGCTTTTTCTGGAAATTCTGGCAAATCCTGGAAATCCTCCTATCATAGAAAACATCTCCCTGGCATGGTCAGCATAACAGACACTAGATCCACGTGCAAATTTCTCTCATGGTGCCCTTTCTGGCTACCCTCGTTAGCCTCAGGCTCATTCCCCACATATTGAAACCCGAAGGTGGTATTCCTCTGCCTTAATTATGCGCCCCTGATTCTCTGTCTCAGGAATACTCTCTTGCATTCTAAGGCCCCATTTAAACACCTACAGGGTCTAGCACAGGCCCTGAAAGAGAGCGATGCTCGATACAGGTGGAAATAACAACCAAAAGAAAATATTTATGATATCATGTTAAGCAAAGTACATAGGCTGTCAGATTTTATACATATAGAAGTAAACCTTGCAAAGGAAAATGCCATAATCATTGTGGGTGATCATTTTTTCCTTTTTGTTCTGTTTTCCAAATTTTCAACAATTCAGCAGTAAATGCTTTTAAAAAAGAGCTCAATCCACATTGCCTTGTTTCTTATTGAAAAAGAGAATGTTGTGCTCATGGTGTAGAGCGAGGGCCCTGGAGACCTGGTGGTGAATGCACAGACATTCCTGCCCCCAGAGCTTCTGGTGTGGCAAGGAGGCTGACCGTGGGCCAGCACAGTGATGAAGCGGGACGAAGCAGAGACAGGGCCTCAGCAACACCCGCCTAGCAGACGCTGCCTGGAGTGTTTCGAGGGAACCAATCTGATTTTAATCCAGCTCAGTTCTCTGGGGCTCAGTGTTTGTTGGGGGGTAAAGACAAACAAGCTATGCAGACATGATGTGGTGAGTGCTTCACCAGAGGCCCTGGCCCACCCTTAGTGCCGGGGCAGGTGGGCTGCTGTGCCCTCCTGGGAGGCTAGCGCAGCTGCACCTGGACATGGCTTGAGTCCTGGGTGCTGGTGCACATGGAGTGGCTACAGGGAGTGGGATCAGGCTGCAGGAAATGGTACCGGCCTTTGCCAAGGAGGGAGTCAAAGCCAAGAGTAGGAACAGAGTCCAGTCCCAGGTGGGCACCCACACTTGCCCATTCACCCAGTGCCTGCTTCCAAATTCAGTTACAGTGACTACTAGGAAAATCCAGACTTCTGCTGTAAATTTGGGGAGGGTAGAATTTACGAAATAGAAAACCAAAGCATTTCTGTAAGATGCAGTTTGGATGACACTGAAATGAAACAAAGAGGGAACAGCCAGGTTTGGGGCAGATTCAAGGCAGAGGTCACGTGGGGAATGGGTGAAAGGGACTGCTGGGCAGAATCTCACTACAGCCCCGAGTCTGGAGCAGCAGGGCTGGAGATGCACCCACAGAGTCGCTGTGTGGGGCGCAAGCGTCAGTGCTACAGTGACGTGGAGGAGCCTGGAGTCCAGGGTCCACCTTAGCCAAGCCACCACGGCACGGGTGGCTGCAGAGGCAGCTTGGGTGGCCATGGGGATAGACTCGTCCTGCAGCTGCATTTGCAGGGACCGTGCACACGATTGAGGAGATGGCAGTGATAACCGTATCCAACAATACAGTGAGGAGTGTGGGGAAGCTCCCGAAGCCTTCCCGGGCTAGAGAAGGGCCCTGCCTGGCTGACCGGACGCTGCTGCACTAGCTGGCAGCTGTGAGGGGGGTGGGATTCCAGCCATGCACAGCAGCTGGGGGCTCAGGGACAGAGGGAGGATGTTCAGCTCACACTGAGGGGCGGGGAAAGCTCCTCAGATACGTCATCAAATACGTCATCACCCCTAGAAAGTCATGTCTTTGCTGCTTCACAGAGGTCCACTCAGAGGCCAAGCAGCTCACCTAAGATCACACGGCTAGTCAGGAGGGCAGCCTAGAGCGCCCAGTCTCCAAAGCCTAAGCCTCGTCCTCTCATGTCTTCTCATTTACAGTGCCCTTGATGATAATAAGCATGGAGTTTCTGGCCATTGAAACTGAGGGTAGATCCTGGGACCTGAGGGATTCACCCAGGAACTGCCATTCTGGAAGGCACTGTCCCCTCCCCCACTAGGTAATTTTCCGGCGGCATCTACATGGATGTCTTGTGCCCTCAGTGACTCCAAGAGCTCCTGCTGCAGGGCTCCGGGCTCTAATTTTTGCTCCCCCTTAACAGCTTCAATAATATGGAGCCCAGAGCATGCAGGCAGCAAGTGCCTGCTGACTTAGAGTCACGAGACTGTCAACATGACAGCGGCAGTAGAGACTGGGAAGGGCTGTCTTTTCCAGACATTCACTCATGCCTTTATTCCGTCAATACTCCTGCTTCCAAGGCAGCACGGCAGGCAGCACGGCAGGCAGCACGGTGGGGAGTACGGGGACTGCAGAGTTGCATAGAAACAGCTGCTGCCGTCCTCACCTCTACAGAGCTTAACATTTAGTGGGGGAGTGAGAAAGGTACACATGGGAGTACATCATCATGAGGAGGTAGAGAAAACAGAGAAAAGGCAAGCTCTTCCAGGAAAGCAGGAAAGCCAACCTGTGCGGAGCTTTCGCAGGTAAGATTTCAACAGGTGGAAGTGGTGGAAAGGGAAGAACATTCCAGGCAGAGAGAACAGTCTAAGGAAGGGTCAGGAGAATTCGGGCCACAGAGCACTCAAAACTCCAGACATTCTGACTACATGAAGGGAAGCCTGGGCAAGTGGGTGACCATGAGGGTGGGAGGACCTGAACGTCACAGTGAAAGTCTGGCCTTTATTCCAAAGGCAGTCGCCGGCAAGGGTGTGTCAGGTTTAGGGACAAACACAAGTTAAGAAAATCAAAATTGACAAAAGATGAAACCACCACTTTCTCCCACCGTTAGTAATTCAAAGTGCACTCATCCAAAAAAAAAAAAAAAATCTAGATAAAAGCTCCCTCTTTTTTCTCCAGAAGAAAATGGATATAAAAACTCAAAGGCATTTGGAACAGTTACTTGGTTTACATGTCTTAATGACAAGCAAATTGCTAGTAAAAATACGGATAATCGTCTCTCTCCTTGGTAATCTTTACCTGCTGGCAGTTTGATGTTTCAGTCTTCATTTATAAAGTATGAGAATTACTCTTCCACATTCTGACAAATTCAGACTTTGTGGAGGATGTGGTTCTAACAAGTGGTTGGGGCTGAAGCCAGAAATGTGTTTATGGCTGGGTCATCCCAGGCACAGGCAGATTCTGCATCAGTAATGTGGGGCTTGGTTCTGGAAGTGTGCATTCGGTCTGCAATTTGTTATGGTCCAATCTTTTAGATTCACA